AATGATCTGGTCATAGGGAGGGGTTTCATCCACAGTCACACAGCTCAACTCATTCTTCCCACCTCCCCCTCGCCTTTACTTTCAACCCTCTGCTCCCTCACCTTCTTTTTGCCTCTTGATGTCCCTCCCCTTCCTCAGGCCATTTATTACCCAAGGCTACCTGGAGAGCATCTATTACACAAAGGACACTGTGCTGACAAGTGCGGGGGGTGGGGGGTGGGAGGGGTCAGGGGTGGAAGGTTTAGGAAGATGCAGTTTCTCCTATGGAGCTGACATGGAGAAATCCATTGAGAAATTACTGGATCTAGCAGCTGCCTCCCCTCTCCAACAGCTTTTGCTTCAGGACAGGGTTGGGCTAAGTAAGAACTCTGGTCCCATCAGAACCACCAGAGGCTACCTTGGAGGGACAGCTCAGGTCGGTGTGCCACCTTGGAGTGGGGGATAGTTCTGCTCAAAGACCAGCTTCCTAGAGAATGAAGGCACCATCCTTATGGGGGAATCCTGAGTACAGCAGTCTCCAGGGCCTCTGCTCCCAGGTTAGGAGGGTTACTCCTGGAGGGCAGGGTGGACTCTCACCCACCTCTCTGAACCAAATTCTCAGTGTGGCGATGATTGTCTAGTGGTGGAAAGGTACCAAGACAGTGAGGGGGCCCTGCAGGAGACCACGTACAGCAAGTGCCAGCTGGGGTTTGAATCTTACCAAACACCACTCCCTTGCCACTAATGCTACTGCATCAACCATGTGGGCTCTGGCCTAAAGTGCAGTCCTGGACTGCCCTAAACTGAGATCCTAGGCCCCAGAAATGTCACTGGAGCAATCTTAGCTGTCAGAGGAGAAGGAGAGTCTCCAGGACAGCCAGTCTTCTCCACCAGGGTGGATAAAACATACAGAAATACCAAGTCCAAGTATGACACAAACAGGTTCACCAAAATGGTGCAAACAGCCAAATGGCCATCATTAGGGGACTGGTTACATAAATAAAAGTAATCCATTCAGTGGAATATGACATACCCATTGCCATCCAGCCAGACTCATTGTGACCCCATGTGACAGAGTACAACTGTACTCCATCAGGTTTTCAACGGCTGTAATCTTATGGAAGTAGATTGTAAGGTAAGTCCTTTTTTGCCTGGCATTATGGAGTGGATTTGAACCACCAAACTCTAGTTAGTAAACCAAACCAAACCTGTGCCATCAAATCTATTTCAACTCATGGCGACCCCATGTGTTACAGAGTAAAATTTCTCCATAGGGTTTTCTTGGCTGAATCTTAATGAAAATAGATTGCCAGGCCTTTCTTCTGTGGTACCACTGGGTGGGTTCGAACAGCCAACCTTTAAGTTAGTTTAAGTTAGTAGTCGAGAATAAACCATTTGTGCCACCTAGGGACTTCTTTTCAGTTAGTAGTGAACCGCAAACAGTTTGTACCACCCAGGGAGCCTGGAATATGACATAAAAAAACAACCAAACCTGTTGCCGTTCAGTCAATGCCAACTCACAGTGAACCTACAGGATAGAGTAGAACTGTCCCATAGGGTTTCCAAGGAGCAGCTGGTAGATTCGAACTGCCGATCCTTTGGTTAGCAGTCAAACTCTTAACCACTGCGCCACCAGGGCTCCGGAATATGACATAGCCATTAAAAAAAAAAAAAAAAAAGCAGCTCATTACATATTGTTTTGGAACAACTTCCTATCCTATTAGGCAACATGCAGATGAGAATGTACAAAATGTTCCACTTACGTTATTTAAAAAAAAAAAAAGAAAAAGACTTTAATTATATCTTTATATACAGAACTTCTCCATAAGAATACTGAAAAAACTGACGATAGCTGGTGGCACAGTGGTTAAGAGCTTGGCTGCTAACCAAAAGGTCAGCAGTTCGAATCCACCAGCTGCTCCCTGGAAACTACGGGGCAGTTCTGCTGTCCTATAGGGACACTATGAGTCCAAATTGACTTGACAGCAACAGGTTTGGTTTGGTTTTAGTAGTCAGAGGGTGGCTAAGGAAGAGAGGGTAGACACTTCATACCCTTTTGTACGTTTTGGATTTTGAGTCATGTGACTGGAATGAGTATCTTGTCACAAAAATTAAACTTCAGGAAAATAAATTAAAAAAAGGAAATCACACTCGCCAAAAAGACCGAAGGGACTGCAAAGTTCCCCCATAGTTTGTATTTGTGTTTATGAAGTCAGCTGGTGGGACTAGTCCTGCCCTGGCTGCTTCTCCTCTGTCCCTTGGAGGTCACAACCTGAGTCAGAGCCTTCACGAGGATAAACCTTGCCACGTTTCACAGCAGGAGAAGGGCAGCTCTCCTTCACTAGAGGTGACTTGACTAAGTAATTTTCCTACTTTTGCCAAGCTGGATTGAATTCAGATCATTCTAGCCTAATATGAATCTGGAAAAAAAAAAAAATAAAACCAGTTGCTGTTGACACCAACTTATGGTGACTTCATGTATGCAGAGTGAAATTGTGTTCTATAGGGTTTTCATCAGCTGACTTTTGGAAGTATATCGCCAGGCCTTTCTTCCAATGGGCTTCTGAGTACACACAAACCGCCAACCTTTCCTTAGCTGCCAAGCATGTTAACTGTTTGCACCATCCAGGAACTCTAGACTAGGATGGACTAGAAAGGCCTGATAATCTACTTGTGAAAATCAGCCAATGTAAATCCTATGGATCATAACGGTCCTATCTGCAACCTATCATGAGGATGGTACAGGACCGGGCAGTTTCATTCTGTTGTGCGCGGGGTCACCATGAGTCAGGGGCCAACTCAGCTAACAGTAACAACCCAATATGATTTGTAAACTTCTGATCGTCTACACAAATCTGACATATTTTGGCATGTCTCGTAGAGCTGAGTTTCATAGGCCACCGTCTAGTAAGAAAGCGAACAGGGTATACTTGGTTCCGCGTAGAGCCATTTCCCTGTTACTCAAATTGCGTACTGAGTGGTGAACTCACACCTAACTCTGCCCTGACTCTGAATGAAAGGGATTCAAATACAGTTTGGACAGGGCAGGGTGGGGTGAGGCTGCCTAGCTGGCACAAACGATTAAGCACTAGGCTACTGAGAGGAAGGCTGATGGTTTGAGTACACCTAGAGGTGCCTCAGAAGAAAGGCCTGGCAATCTACTTCCAAAAAATCAGCCACTGAAAACGCTACAGAGCACAGTTATACTTTGACACACAGAGGGTCGCTATGAGTCATAACTGAGTTGACAGCAACTGGTTTGGGTGGGGGATGCTGTCCATTCCTGCTCCCAGAGCCTCAATCATTGAGAACTGAGTCAATCATGGAAAAATTCAACTTGCAGTTGCACTGACTACAGAGCCTGTCACCTGCCCGCCCAGGCCTCACGTGCCTGAGGTGCCACTCTGCTGCCTCTTACAGTCCTCACCGCATAGAGAGCACCTTTGGGTGAGCTTGTCACCATAGTATGTGTCAAACAACTCACATCTATTGTTTTTAGTTCTCCTGGATTATGGGACTACACTCTCCCCTCTGACCACCAAAGGCTCCTAAACTGCCTCCTCTATCCCTTTCTTCTAATACATCCTGCCCAACACTTCTCTACTTGGGAGCCCAGAGGTTCTGTTGCTGGGCCAATGCCTTTATGCATTCTCCTGTCTTCCCTGGGAACATTCTTCCTTCTCACTCTTCTTGCCTAAGCCTCATCCTTAAAGGCTACCATGATGCCCTCCTTCAGACCACTCTGATTTCTCATTTCATTTGTTCTGTTTCCAAAGATACCTCTTCAAACAGTTCTTAGTTGGCTTCCCTGGGCCTGGGACCCTCAATTAAGTGACCCCCTCCACCTAAGACCTCAGGCTCTCCTCCCAAATCTAAGTCAAGGCTTTCCATTTAGACATAAGAATTCGGTAGGTATGAGATGTGAGGACTATAAGCTAGACTTCCTCAATGAGGTTAAAGACAAGAAGGTGGCCCAATGCGATGGAAACACAAAGCGGGGAAGAGAAATAACCCAAGAAAGTAGCAATGGAGAAATGACAGAGATGATGACTATTTGCAAGGTTAATTGATACACTGCAACACTATCCAAGGCCACAAGCGACCAGGTCAGAGTGAACCTTGCCAGAGAAAAGAATTATGGAAGAGGCCAAGGAGGAAAACAACACTTCAGTTTCAAATGTTATACTTCAAAGCTACAAGTGCTTATGATTAATTATTCTTATCTGACATATTAGTAATCTACGAGTACATTTTTTAAAACTTTTTTCTCTGCCAAAACAAAACTGTACCCTGAGTAGGCCGAGGACACGTGTGGTGTGTAGGAAAGAAGAACAGTTCCCATTTAAAGTTCCACTCTCTGGAACCTTCTATGCATAGGAAATAACTGGCAAAGATGAACTGGACCAATAGACCACCCTAACTCACACACTGCCTACCTAGGACATCTCCGTTTGTCTCTGGGGAGTAAAGGCAAACCTAACTCAGGCTATGGCTTATCCGGCAGCTCTCCAGGCAGGTAGGACCTCAACAACCCTACTGGTGATGTGGAGGAGGAGTCTGGAAGGAGGAAGCCCTGATACTTCAGGGCATCACCTGACACCTGCTACCAACACAATCCTCACTCACTCTGGGTCATTCCAGGAGGAATGGCCAAAGCCTTGTCTACGCTTCTGCCCAGAAAATTATGTAAGAAGAAACAGATCCTCCATTTCCCTAAGCCAGCCTCTCCTGTTCAATATTTTCACTTACATGGGCTTTACATACCTTTGAACTTGGTGTAGAAAAAATAGAAAAAGAGACTCAAGTAAACAGACTAATAGCTGAAAAAGACCCCTGGGATTTTTCAAGGACCCCCACATACACAATTACTTACAAAGTTAACAGATTATTACAAATCAAGGCATGAAAGTACAAGAACCTAGTTTAGGCAATTAGAGATTTTCCAAAAGATCCTAAGCAAGGCATTTCTCGACCCTGTTGGGCAATTCCAGCCCGCCGGCCCAACCCCGCCCCAGGCTCACCTCGGAAGAAGCAACCCCGACTCTCTCGGATTCGTACATGAGGGAAAGGGAGCGGCTGGTGCTGGCGGCCGTGGCCTCGGCCCTGCGCAGCACCTCCTGCCGCAGGCTCTGCTGCCGGTCTGCGGGCGCGCTGGGCCCATCGGGGAGGTCGCAGGCGTCCCGGCTGCCCTCGTCCTCCGCGTCGTCGTCGAACGGGTTGTAGTTCTTGGAATAGGCCGACATGGTGCCGGCGCTGGTCTCGGCCTGGGAAGAAGGCGGCGTGCGGCCGAGGCAAGCAATGATCTTTGCGGGCCCGCTGGTACACCGGGAGCCTCGGAAGCGCCCCCAGCTATGCACCCTGCAGCACAGCCGCCGCCGTGGGTCACCCACCGCGGGGCTGCAGTCTTCTCGCCCTCGGCCTCAGTGCCCGCCTCCTTCCGTCAGCCTGGAGCGAGCAGCCCCACCCCCGGAGCCGACCATCACACCCGGTGACTGGGGGGGAGCCACGCCCTGCACACGCGACCGCGGCCTGCCGTGCTGCTTCTCCCCCCCGCACTGCGGTGGAACCGCCCCGAGATCACGCTCCACCCAGTGTCGGCAACAGAGAGGTCACGTGGCGGAGAAGCCGAATGCGGCTGCGCCTGCGCTGCGAGATCCGCGCTCGCGGGTGGAGCGCGGAAGGCTGGCGGGCATCACTGCAGCTCGGGATGATGGCGGCGGCCACGGCCCGGGGAGGCAGCGGCGGCTCCGGCTCTGGCTCCGGCTCCGGCTCTGGTTCCAATGCCGGCGCCTCGCGGGGCTTCTACTTCAACACCGTCCTGTCACTGGCCCGCTCCCTAGCCGTGCAGAGACCCGCATCGTTGGAGAAGGTAAGCTCGGCGGGCTCGGCCGCGGGCTGACAGGAGGAGGGGCCTGGGCGGCCAAGGAGGCAGGCGGGCGGCGGTCTGCAGGAGGCCGAGCGGGGGTCGTGAGCAGCCTGAGACTGCGGGGTGGGAGGCCCAGTGGGGGAGGGCGCTCATGAGGGGAGACAACCGGTTGAGTGAGGAGGCCCCGGGGGAAAGGGGCTGGCCAGGGGCGAGGGTTGTGGGGGAGGAGTCTGCCCGGCGGACGGGAGTTCGAGCCGAGGGCCACCTTGTGACGTCGCCGGGCGGGGGCCAGGATGTGGCGGCAGTGAGTGAGGAGCTGTTGGAAGAGCTGAGGACCAGGAGTCAAAACCTGGGAGTCGGCTCCCGACTTCCCCTGCTTTTTCCTCCGTGACCTTGGGGAGATGCCTTTTCCATAAAATGGGGTTGCTTTCACTTGCTTTGCCCAACTTGCGGGATTGCCGGAAAAGGGCAGATGAAGCTATGTGACAGCGCTTTCTGAACCGCAACCCGGCAGCTCAGTGTTATTCTCTGAGGCAGGTTGGGGACTAGAGAGAGGTGTGTAAGACTGGGTAAAAGATTGGGTGTTTGAAGGAGAAGAGACAGTGGCAGGGAAGAAGAGTGAACTGTCTTGTCATTGGGCAGAGAATTAAGCTCGGAGTTGCTTCAGAGGAGAAAGGAAAACGTGCTCCAGAGGAATCTTGTCTCTTGGGAGGTTGAAAAACACTCAAAGGTGTGACACGGGATGGTGGAAAGAACACAGATTGTAGGGTCAGAACTAGATTTGTTCCCTCCTCTGTCACTGTCTGTGTAGTGTTGGGCAAGTTACTTCAACTCTCTGAGCCTCTGTTTCCTTATTAGTAAGATGAGATTGTTCTTGAGGATTAAATGAGTTTAAGCATAAAGTGCATCACACAGGACAAGGCACAGGGTAGGTAGATGCGCAGTAAATGTCAGCTTTCTTACCCCACCAGTATTTGATGAGACTCATTACAGTGTGTTAGCCCGGAAGGGATGGCATTATTTTTCCACACAGCTTTCTGGCAGACGAAAAGAGGACACTCCCTGACAGTACAAGAAGAGCAATGGTGCCTGGAGACCTGCCTGTTGCAGTTGGGAATGGTTTTGTAGCTCTGGTGATGGGGTGAAGCCAAAAGGCTGTTTTAGGCACTTTGGCAGAGCAAATTAGTCCTTGGCTTTGTAGGTTCTGAAACTTGATTTTATCACTTACCTGCAGGGTGAGCAGGTCCTGGGAGACTGATACCAACCTGACTTTCTAATTAAAGAAGGAGTGCAATAGAATGGAAAGAACATGAGTTTGGGAGATAGAACCACCAGAATTTAAACCCTGTATTACTTCCTGAAAGAAACCCAGTGACGCAGTGGTTAAGTGCTTGGCTCAGTGGGAGAAAGACGTGGCAGTCTGCTTCTGTACAGATTAGTCCTGGAAATCCTATGGGGCAGTTCTACCCTGCCCTATAGGGTTGCTATGAGGCAGAATTGACTGGAAGGCAACGGGTTTGGTTTGTTACTTGCTTAAGGAGCCCTAGCTTAGCTGCTAACCGAAAGGTCAGCTGCTCCACCGGAGAAAAGACCTAGTGATCTGCTTCTGTAAAAATTTCAGCCTAGGAAACCCTGTGGGGCAGTTCTGCTCTGTCGTATAGTGTTGCTATGAGTTGGAATCGACTTGATGGCACACAGCAACAACAATATTATTTGCTTTTTAGTGTGACTTTGGGAAGGTCATCTCCCCACTCTGAGCCTCTGCTTTCTTGTGTAAACAGCAGGGATAGTACTTAATAGGAGTATTGATCAGTGAAATGACACAAAGGCAGGCACTTGGGTACTTAATAAATGGATCCCTGTTAGGAGTCACTGGATGCAAATTGTTAAGTATTTGCCTAATAACTGAAAGGTTGGTGGTTTGAGCCCATCCAGAAGTGCCTTGAAAGAAAGGCATGCTTATTTGCTTTTGAAAGGTTACAGCCATGAAAACCCTGTCAGGCAGTTCTACTTTGCCGCACATGCGGTTGCCATGAGTCGGAATGGTGGATGTCATTTGTTTTCATCGATGTTGTTACCATCAGGTGATAGTGTTGGCTTATTAAATCAGCACATTCTCTTAGAAGAGCTTACTCTCTTGGTTGGTAGAAATCAAAAAGTGTATCAGAAGTTTGCTTGTTGGATTCAGGGAGAAGAGAGAAGAGGGTGCATGAAATTGGATAATTTTAAAGAAGATGGTCCTGCAGCTCTAACAGTGGTGGCATCCTTTCCTACTCAGTTAACTCTGAAAAGTGCGCCTTGAGCACAACTTGCCGCCTTCTTTTAATTTTTTCTGTTTATTGTTGTAGTTTAAGTGAAAGTTTACATCTCAAGTTAGTCTCTCATACAAAAATTTATACATACCTTGTTATGTGACCCTAATTGCTTTCGCTATACTGTGACAGCACACTCCTCCTTTCCACCCGATTCCCCATGTCCATTCAACCAGTTCCTAACCCTCTCTGCCTTCTCATCTTACCTCCAGACAGAAGCTTCCCATTTAGTCTCATGTAACTGCTCGAGCTAAGAAGCAGACTCTTCACAAGTAACATTTTATGTCCCACAGTCCAGTCTAATCTTTGTCTGAAGAGTTGGCCTCGGGAATTATTTTAGTTCTGGGTCAACAGAGAGTCCAGGGGCCAGCCATGGTTTCTGGGATTCCTCCAGTCTCAGTCAGATCATTAAGTCTGGTCTTTTCACTAGAATTTGAGTTCTGCACCCCACCTTTCTCCTGCTCCATCAGGGACTCTCCGTTGTGTTCCCTGTCAGGGTGGTCATTGGTGGTAGCCAAGCACCATCTAGTTCTTCTGGTCTCAGAACTTGCTGCCTTCTTTAGCCTTCTTCACTGATGACAAAAACGTTCTGCAATTGCAGCATTGTTAGCTTTGTATCTTGTGGTAACTGCTTCAATTGTCAAGATTAAAATATAGTTTATACTTAACGCGGTTTTTAGGGTGTCATCTCCCTAATATCCTCTCTTACTTTGGGAGACACTTTGGTTTCATTTGCAACATTTACAAATCACTTCTGTGCAGAGAAGTGTTAGCATAGCAGACTACTGTCCTTAGAAGGGCTTGTTTACAAGGTTGGCTCTTGGCTGGCATCTGGGAACTTGATGCTTGGACTGTTCCTTCCATTCCCTAATTGATAAGGGTGTTTCACTGTGCCTAGACTGTGTACAGACAATGTGATTTATACTGAACATCTGCCTTCTTCTGGGAATCTGGAATTTTGATAGTTGCTAGTCACAGCGTTCCTGTGTGACCAACCCCCAGTAAAAGCCTTGGGTGCTGAGTCTCTAATGAACTTCCCTAGGCAGAAACATTGCACACATGTTACTGCATGTTTTGCTGCTATAGAAAGGCGCATACTTGGTGTATATCTTCGTGGGAGGCAAGAACATAAGGAAGCCTGTTCATGGAGTTTCTACAGATTCCACCTGTATCTTTTTCTCTTGCTGATGTCCTTTCATTGTAATAAATCTTAGCCATGAGTCCAACTATATATGTGTGGGTGGTCTTGGGAACCCTTGAAGCAATTTATTACTTTAGAGACGGCTTCTGTAGATGGCCTATTCTATCAAATATATGTGAATTTCTCTTATTTATCTAGGATCTTGAAACTTCATTATGCAAGGGATCATTGTTACTCTTTTGTCCTGTATAGTATGTCTGCTTGCTACATTTCCCCTACTTCAAAACAATTGACAACTACCCTTTAGCAGCTGTAAGGAGCAGGTTCTTGAGATTCTTAAGAGTAAAGGAATTTCTGAGTATTCACCTGGGATAATAAAGATGGAGACTTAAATAGGGAGATGAGTATTGAAAAGTATCTTTCTTTTTTTATATTATTTTATTTTTTTATTGTACTTCAGGTGAAGGCTTATAGAACGAATAGTTTCTCATGAAACAGTAGTACAGATATCGTTTTGTAACATTGGTTAACAACCCCACAACATGTCAACCCTCTAACTTCTCAACC